ATTTTTGAATGCTCCGAGTATTTCATTTTCCGTAGTTATGAAGGGGCTTGTCGCCTCTGCTGGTGTGCCGATACTCGTTGTCTCGTCGGCAGTGTCCTTGGTGGTTAGTAGTACGGTTTCTGTGCCGAAAGCCTTTCTAAGCCTTTTGATTGCCGTGTGGCCAGCCGTTGCTTTCCGTTTTCCTTTTGTGGATGTCCGCGGTGCTGTAGCAGCCTGCGGTGCAGCTGCTCTGGCGCCTTGTACTTCGGTCTGAAGCACTCCTCCCAGCCGGAAGCCAGCATCGGCAGCTTCAGTTGAATCTTCTAGGTGCCTCGGTTAGCATTCCTTCAAGGCGTCGCTGCCAGTGCTGGACTTACCAGTCTCAATTGTCTCTCCAGTGTTGTCCAAGCTGGTAGTCTGGGGTTTTGATCCTGATCTTGGAAGGCCATCAACACCCGAGCCACTCTGTGGTGTGTTGCTTACTGCGACCCTGGGGAGGTTTTCCATTCCTGTTGACTTCCCGGTGCTCAATGTCTCGCCGGCAGTGTCCTCGATGGTTGGTGGTACGGTTCTAGATGTGGCGCTCCAGTTCCGTCGGTTGAGGCTCTCGGATGTTGTTGCATTCATGCCGCGTGTCTGCCTCTTGGATTGCTCGGCAAATTTCGTACCTACGCTTCCCTGACCGGTTTGAACTTGACTTTCATCGTCTGGCTTGGGTATAACAACTGCAAAGTGCGCAGCCGTATGACCCGCTGTCTCAGGCTTCGGTAGATCTTGTGACTCCGGGACTCCCGCAGTTTCAAGCGCTTTTGCTGCCAGCTCAGCGATGTTGAATCCGATGCCAGTCGTGAGCGGAGGGCTCGCTTGCTGCGAGAAAACCGAATTGTGACGATTTCCAGCGTGCTCTCGGTCATGGTCTACAGCACGACTGGATCTACCGACATTGCTACCACCACTGGTCTCAATGCCCCCCGCAGCTGTTTGCAAAATTTCTGCGTACTTTGATTAGCAGTGTCTTGGTATATGCTGCTACCATTGACCTACCAGTGCGAGGTCCGTCTTTTGTTTCGTCTGAGGGGCCAACTGGCGACTGGGGCGATGCTGCGGGATCACGGCTGGAGGGTGCATGGTTGGGGGTTCGGACGGCCGAGCTATCTGCTCCAAAGGTGGTTTCGACTCGTGCCATGGTAATCAGTTGTGCTCAAAGAGAGGTAAAGACAAATCGAATGAAGAGTGAGATCACGATGAGGCAGGAAGTGGCAGCTGCTGCCCTTTTATAGTTTCGTCACTCTCATTCCGACGCATCTGCAAGGAGCACGTGAGAGCAAGGCACTCGAGGGCCTCCCACTGAGATACCCGACTGCAGCCGTCGCAATAACCTGGTGAAAAACGCCCTGTAGCCTGCAGACGAAATTGGATGACACTGCGTGATGCATCGATAAGACAGAGGGGCGGAAGTAATCGTATCCGGCGCATGCAGCCTGGTGAATGACGCACCGTAGCTTGTGGCCGAGATTGGATTCGTTTGAAGGATAAGGCCGGCAGAAGGCGCACATAGAGCCGAGCTGTGATGTATTCGGCACCCCAAGCTTGTCTTTGACTCAATCAACCTTGCCGGTAGTAGGAACACATGATCTCTTGGGGTATCCGAAGTGCCGGTCAGCCCAGGAAACATGAGTCACGCC